TCCTGGACGTAATTCCTAAAAATCTTCCAATCAGTGTTGGTTAAGAATGTTATTTCCGGAATAACATCACTTCCAAGATACTAGGATCTAACTTCGACGAATGCCTAATAGAGGCAAGGAAAGTGCTCCAGAGTTTCACTATCCTCTCCACATGCTCTACATTCGTCTGAATTCGCACGTCCACTCAGAATACGTACCATCATACTAACCTCAGACTTTCTCATTTTGAGGAGATTTTCCGTCTTGCTCTCATCAGGGTCACCCCATAGATCTTTGTGGTTCTACCCACCGTTGATCTAATCTAATGAAGATAAAAACTCAAGTTTGTTTAATAAGGTCAATATACGCAGCTTCTACAAAATGAAAGAATTGAGTATTTGGGACACAACTATACAGGCAGGAAGAATAAAAGATAAAAATGTTGAAAATTGTTAACTAATATGACTTTTTGATTTCTATAATCAAAATCAGCATTCTAAATAACACTAGTTCGTTGGCCTGTGTTAGTAAATTTTCTGGTGCCTTGGTAATGCTGAACCATTTGCAAATAACATGGTAAATATAATCAGAATTCGTTTTAAATTTCAAAATGCAATATCTTAAAATTTTGACCTGATACCTTATATGATCCTCATCAGAAAATCTATTTAATCTTCATACTTGATTCAGAAAGATTTGATTTTAATTCCAAAATGTACTTAGAGAAAAAATTTATAAAAATGTTTAAACTTTTTATATAAAAAACTATCTTAATATGCACAACCAATAAAATCAACTCATATTATATTTTTAATTAATTAATTTATTTTTATTAATCAATATTTATGCCGTTTTTTTTTCTTATTCACAATAATTCGCTAAATATTACTATACATTCAACATAAGTTTACCAATACATTTAATGATAGTAGTTGTAGTCGAAGTGGCCGAAGTTTTCGTATTTCTTGCCATAATACTTTTCAAAAGTGTCCTTGTGGTAGATCTTGACATCCTTGAAGTACATGTTGGGTACGAAGAATTCGTATTCATCGATTTCACGATCGAAGGGATAGCCGAAAGGCATTTCATCGACATAACGAACACCAGAGCCAATACCGCATGAGTAGGAGTAGTCGTAGGTGGAGTAGGGTTCGTATTCGGCGGTGAAGGGAGTGACATAGAAGAAGAATTGCATGGGCATACCCTTGTACCAACCTCGGGGCAAGACCAAACGATCGGGGAAACCACAATGAGGTTCGCTGATGTCCAAGGGGAATTCGTATTTGCCTTCGAAAGCAAGCATGACGTATTTGTACAATTCAGTGTAAGTGGTGCGGTCTTCGGTGGTCCAGTAGAAGTCCTTGGAGTGGCGTTTGAATTCATTAACACCAGAGGTGAGAGTGTAAACAAAGCTGTCGAGTTCCATGAAGTTTTCACGATTTTCAGTCAAAGAGATAGCACGACCGAATTCGTCGTATTTAGGAGCCAAGTAGGTGCGGATAACAACCTTTTGGGGCTTGTCAGATTCAATGACGAACTCAAAGTCGAAGGGTTTGTGGTTGAGGCGCATTTGACGAGCCAACAAGGTCTTGTCCCAAACGAATTTACCATCAACGAAAGTCATCTCGTCGTTCAACAAGTTGGTGACATCAAAGTCGACCAAATCGAAGAAGGTAACCAATTCACTGACCTTAACGTCCTTGATGGTGACACCAGGGAACAACAATTCTTCGTGAGTGTAGGGTTTGACATAGTAGAAGAATTGGTAGTAGACGGAAGCGATCTTCTTGTAGAACATGTAGAACATAGGATCACGCATCATGGTTTCGTAGTTCAAGAAAACGTGGGGGTAAACTTCGAAATCGTGGGTGTTGACATCACCGAAGTACATATGGGCGAACATGTACCAGAATTTGAAGAAGTATTTGTCGAAAGTATCAACATTGCCTTGCATGATGCTGCCAATGTATTCAATGGACTCAGGTTGGCGCAAGTCAATGGTCTTGCCTTCGTAAGTAACATAGACACCCTTGGTGATGATTTCATCCAAACGGTTGAAGAAGTCCATAACCTTGTAGTAGTAGTCGAATTTACCGTAGCTTTCAACTTCGTAGTAGTTCTTGCGGTAAGAGTAACCAACACCATTGTAGTAAATCAATTGAGGGTTGTAACCGTATTCGATGGTGTTGAAGTAGGAGAATTCGGGAATTTCACCAAAACCGTGAGACAAACGTTCCATGTAGTAACGAGACAAGATTTGGCGAACATTGTACAACCAGTATTCACCACGACGATCCTTGTTCAAACCGTAAGTCTTGCCATCCAAGAAGAAAGCGTAATCCATGTTGAGGTAATACCAGTAGGCGTTGAAACCAACATCTTCAGTGAAGTAAGACAAAGCTGATTCCTTGTTGAAGAATTCAATGTCACGGGTGTAGTCAACGGGCATGAAGAACATCTTGGTGCCTTCAAAGATTTCCAAGTATTTGGAGTCCTTGTTGTATTGGTCCATGTTTTCGCGCAACATGAAACGATCTTCAGAGTACCAGTGTTCGCCCAAACCCATCATCTTCCACCATTGCCACATCTTCCAGTCCTTGGTGAAGTAGTAGTAGTGGTGGCTGTCGAAGTTCTTGTAGAAGGTGGAGTAGTCCTTGTAGAGAATATCCTTGTATTCCTTTTCGTACATGATGTATTTGCTCCAGACATCGTAATCGAATTTCTCAGCTTCATAAACGAATTTGCTGTTGAAGAAGTATTGAGGGAAGATTTCATAGATGGAAGGCAAGATCAAGCCATGGAAATCATCACGGTGGATGACGGCCAAAGTCAAAGCATAGACGAACATGCCTTCGTTGCAGTGCATACGAGCCCAGGCAACGTTACGTTGGAAGACTTCCCAGTTCTTGGCATAGTAGAAGAATTCGAACAAACCATAGGCTTGCTTAAGTTGGGTGTTAACCAAAGCACCGAAGAATTCACCTTTGGGTAAGAGAGCATCGTGCTTGTAGGCTTCGTAGAATTTCTCCATGTACATGTCAAAGTGCTGGAATTTAAAAGGAAACATTGGCTATAAACTTAAATATTTACAAGTTTCTTAGTGACTTACAGTGTAGTCAGCCTTGTCAAAAGTGGTGCATGTTTTGGCCAATTTAATCCATTCCTCGAACATCAAGGGATCCTCAACACGGTAAACAATTTCGAAAAGGAACTTTTGCTTAGCCAAAAAGTCCTTATCGGCAATTTTTACCTTCTTATCGGCAATGCTGGCACTAGCCACCAAGCCAACAATGGCTAATAAAACAATGGCGATTTTCATTGCTTTGTCCTTCAATAGAGCGCGTAGTGTTCGAAACAAACCTGTCCACGGATTAGAGTATGATGCGACGATCAATTCCAATACCTAAAGACTGATGAAGTTTGCAATATTCTGTGGGGTTTTTATACAAATTGATGTGTTTGTTTTTAAAAATCAATTTTTTTATTTGTCTTATCAGTTAAAATGTTTGTTATGATTTTTTTTTTTTCAATATTTATGTTGCACCTGTTTACTGATAAGAACGCATTAGTTTTGCATGAATCTTATGGTGTTTCTTATTTAATAGAAAGTTTGTTTGGGTGCTTCAGACTCGCAAATTTTAAACTGGTCACAGGTTATCACTGTTTGTATGTTAGTTTTGTATTATTCCATACATATGTGATTAGAGGCTTGTCGACAGAGGGTCTAGTGATATTTTTGAAATTGTTTTTATGAAAATAAAGATTTGTTGGTGGATTATGTTTAGTTATTGGGAATGTTGTGGTCTGGAAAGTTCACATTGATTAAGTGAAAAATGTGAGAAAAATAATATTTTCACCTGTTTTGCATTGGATTCATAATATTAATTGGCCGATAAAATATAATATGGGATAATCTGGAATTGGAAAAGACTACGAAATGTATTTTTAATTCATTCTAAACGATTTAATGATATTAAGGATATCCGGTTCGTGAGTGGTAGATGCCTATATTCGAGAAGTTCCAAGTATTTGGAGTCCTTTTGGTATTCTTCAAACATTTCGAGCAACATGAAGTGTTCATCAGAGTACCAGTGCTCACCTAAACGCATCATTTTCCACCATTGCCACACCTTCCAGTCCTTGATAAGTTAATAGTATTGGTTACAGTGATCTTGCGTTTACCGTTTGCTGTTGATTAAGTATTCAGGGAAGATGAAGCCATGGAAATCATCACCTAATTAGTTAATTTGGAAGAAGGATGAATGTACGATGCTATCTGATAGACCTGGTGGGAATAGAACCCGTGACTGCAGTACTGACTGACTAGTACACCATTAACTAACCTAAGGAGGCATCCGGACTTCATAATACGAGCTATTGTAATAGACCTATAACACCCAATCCCAATTTTAATATCATACAATTGGATACTCCCCCGAGGCATGTCAGGAAGGATCTTCGTATATACGAGGAAAACATATGCAGATATGTGCAGGATCCACTGGATCAGTCCTCGTATTCGGCAGCTTTGAACGACATTCATAGAGACGCCATAAATTCCGCGGTCGCAGGATACCGCATGAATGTCGTACTTGGAGGTCGCCCACCGCCCATAGCAGACACGGAAGAAAACCTGCCGCGGAAAACAAGAGTAGTTGTGGCACAACTAAAATCAGGATGGAGCAACAGGCTCAATGCCTACTGGTCACGTATAGACCGTGCCGTCCCCAACGAATGTCCTGCATGTGGTCAGGGTCCTCGTGACACCCACCACATATTCAACTGCTCAGCCAACCCTTCACTCTGTCCAATGGATTTATGGACGCATCCAGTTGAAGTAGCCCAATTTTTAGGCCTGGACATTGATGTAGAACCACCTAACTAGATTATTGTATAGTTTTAGCTGTTACAACAACAACAACCTATAACACCAAGTATTTAATAGATGTTTATCGTGAGAGAATACTCTTAATTTCGATACATAAAACTAAAATCAAATAAAAAATTAAAACAAGAGAGAATTTCGTAAATTTTTGGATATAATATTTATTAACTTAAGAAGTAATTACAATAAATTAATATATATTCATAATATTTTTCCTTAACTAATAACTAATGGAAGTATTCATGATCAAAATGGCCGAAATTTTCATATCTATGTTCGAAATATTTTTCAAATATCTCTTTATGATAGATCTTAACATCCTTGAAGTACATATTGGGAACAAAGAATTCGTATTCATCGATTTCACGATCGAAGGGATAGCCAAAGGGCCTCTCATCGATGTGACGAACACCAGAGCCAATACCGCAAGAGTAAGTGTAGTCGTAAGTGGAATAGGGTTCATAGTCAGCGGTGAAAGGTGAAATGTAGAAAAAGAGTTGCATAGGCATACCCTTGTACCAACCACGTGGCAGGATCAAGCGATCAGGAAAACCACAGTGTGGTTCGCTAATGTATAAGGGGAATTGGTATTTATCATCAAGTGCAAGCATTACATATTTATACATTTCGGTGTAGGTGGTGCGATCTTCAATAGTCCAGTAGCATTCTCTAGACATGCGCATTATTTTATTAATACCCGACTTAAGGGTATATATGAAGCTATCAATTTCCATGACATTTTCACGGTTTTCTGCCAATGTTATAACACGACCAAATTCATCATATTTGGGAGCCAAATAGGAACGGATAACAACTTTTTGTTCCTTGTCGGATTCAACGGTAAATTCAAAGTCGAAAGGCTTGTGGTTGAGGCGCATTTGACGAGCCAACAAAGTCTTATCCCAAACAAATTTTCCATCAACGAAAGTGATTTCATCATTCAGCAAATTTGTAACATCAAAGTCCACCAAATCAAAGTAGGTAACCAATTCACTGACTTTAACGTCCTTGATGGTGACGCCAGGGAACAACAATTCTTCGTGAGTGTAGGGTTTGACATAGTAGAAGAATTGGTAGTAGACGGAAGCGATCTTCTTGTAGAACATGTAGAACAGAGGATCACGCATCACGGTTTCGTAGTTCAAGAAAACGTGGGGTAAGACTTCGAAATCCTTAGTGTTCACATCACCGAAATACATATGGGCAAACATGTACCAGTATTTGAAGAAGTATTCGTCAAAAGCATCAACGTTACCCTGCATAATGCTGCCAATATATTCAATGGATTCGGGTTTGCGCAAATCGATGGTCTTGCCTTCGTAGGTGACATATACGCCCTTGGTGATGATTTCATCCAAACGGTTGAAAAAGTCCATAACCTTGTAGTAGTAGTCGAATTTTCCGTAGCTTTCAACTTCGTAGTAGTTCTTGCGGTAAGAGTAACCAACACCATTGTGGTAAACCAGTTGAGGTTTGTAACCGTACTCGATGATGTTGAAGTAGGAAAATTCGGGAATTTCACCAAAACCGTGAGACAAACGTTCCATGTAGTAACGAGACAAAATTTGACGAACATTGTATAACCAGTATTCACCTCGACGATCCTTGTTCAAACCGTATGTTTTGCCATCTAAGAAGAAAGCGTAGTCCATGTTAAGGTAGTACCAATAAGCGTTCAAACCAACATCTTCGGTAAAGTAAGACAAAGCTGATTCTTTGTTAAAAAATTCAATATCACGAGTATAATCAACCGGCATGAAGAATATGTTGGTACTTTTGCAAATTTCTAAGAATTTTGGATCCCTATAGTATTCACTAATATTTTCGCGCAACATAAAGTGGTCCTCAGAGTACCAGTGTTCGCCCAAACCCATCATTTTCCACCACTGCCACATCTTCCAGTTCTTTGTGAGGAAATAGTATTGGTTGTCATGATTAGCGTATTCCTTATAGAGAATATCCTTGTATTCCTTTTCATACATGATATATTTACTCCAGACTTGGTAGTCGAATTTTTCAGCTGCGTAAATAAATTTGTTGTTGAAGAAATATTGTGGAAAAATTTCATGTATTGATGGCAAAATCAAGCCCTGAAAATCGTTACGGTGAATAACGGCTAAAGTTAAAGCATAGATAAACATGCCCTCGTTGCAGTGCATGCGAGCCCAGGCAACGTTGCTCTGGAAAACTTCCCAGTTTTTGGCGTAGTAGAAGAATTCAAACAAACCATAAGCTTGCTTAAGGTGGGTCTTTACCAGGGCACCAAAGAATTCCCCTTTGGGTAAGAGGGCATTATATTTGTACGCTTCATAGAATTTCTCCATATAAACGCCATAGTGCTGAAATTTAGATTTAGTTAGAAAATGTTTTTTCAAGATTTATTAAAACTTACAGTGTAGCCAGATTTGTCGAAAACGAAAGACTTTCCCATCTTTATCCATTCCTCAAACATTAAGGGATCTTCAATACGATAAACTATTTCAAAAAGGAACTTTTGTTTAGCCAAGAACTCCTTATCAGCAATTCGGAACTTCTTGTCGACCACGCTAGAACAGGTCACCAAGCCAACAATGGCCAATAAAACAATAAAAATTTTCATTATTTTGTTTTTCAATATTAAACTAGAAATGCCGCAGCGAGGTCCAAAGCCTAACGACTGCTGTTTATTGAAAAATTCTTTGTGGTTTTATACATTTTACTTTATTCGTTTTCAGAATAAGTTTATCAGTGGAGTATTTGTTCTGTATATATTTTAGAAATCATTGCACCTGTTTACCACTTGAAAACCATCAATGATGATGTTATGTGTAATGTCTGAACATAAAATTGATACAGTTTAAAGGTTATCAGATTTGCCGAAGTTCTCAAAATTATTAGAATTCTTGGCAAATGAGAATGCAAGGAATCGTAACTTTTTTATTTTTACTTATCGACAACTGCTATTTTAAGAATATACCTTTTTAAGAAAAGGTGCAAAACATTGCAAATAAAATTTTATTAAAACTAATGGTCACATAATCGAGACATATTTTAGGAATTACAATTTATCGGAAAATATGTGTCTTTAATAAGGTGCTTATATACCTTATCAATTATAATACAGTACTATCAAATATCCTTCTATGTCTTATATACTTATCTGAAAATAAAAATTTTAATAAAAAGCAGTAACTTTGATATTGTTAATTATATTATCTTTTTATTTTATTACTTAATTATCACATCTAAATATGGTTCAAAATGGTTTACACTAGAAAACATCTAATGGTAGTATTCATGATCGAAGTGACCGAACTTTTCGTATTTGTGTTCAAAGTACTTGGCGAAGGTGTCCTTGTGGTAGATCTTAACATCCTTGAAGTACATGTTGGGTACGAAGAATTCGTATTCATCGATTTCACGATCGAAGGGATAGCCGAAAGGCATTTCATCGATGTAACGAACACCAGAGCCAATACCACAAGAGTATTTGTAGTCGAAGGTGGAGAATTGTTCGTATTCGGCGGTGAAGGGAGTGACGTAGAAGAAGAATTGCATGGGCATACCCTTGACCCAACCGTGGGGCAAGACCAAACGATCGGGGAAAGCACAATGAGGTTGGCTGATGTCCAAGGGGAATTCGTATTTGCCTTCGAAAGCAAGCATGACGTATTTGTACAATTCAGTGTAGGTGGTACGGTCTTCAGTGGTCCAGTAGAAGTCCTTAGAGTAGCGCTTGAATTCATTGACACCAGATTTAAGAGTGTAGACAAAGCTGTCGAGTTCCATGAAGTTTTCACGGTTTTCAGTCAAGGAGATAACACGGCCGAATTCGTCGTATTTGGGAGCCATGTAGGTACGGATAACAACCTTTTGTTCCTTGTCGGATTCAATGGTGAAGTCAAATTCGAAAGGTTTGTGGTTAAGGCGCATTTGACGAGCCAACAAAGTCTTATCCCAAACGAATTGACCATCAACGAAAGTCATCTTGTCGTTCAACAAGTTGGTGACATCAAAGTCGACCAAATCGAAGAATGTAACCAATTCACTGACCTTAACGTCCTTGATGGTGACACCGGGGAACAACAATTCTTCGTGAGTGTAGGGTTTGACATAGTAGAAGAATTGGTAGTAAACGGAAGCGATCTTCTTGTAGAACATGTAGAACAAAGGATCACGCATCATGGTTTCATAGTTCAAGAAGACATGAGGGTAAACTTCGAAATCGTGGGTGTTGACATCACCGAAGTACATATGGGCGAACATGTACCAGAATTTGAAGAAGTATTTGTCGAAAGTATCAACATTGCCTTGCATGATGCTGCCAATGTATTCAATGGATTCGGGTTTGCGCAAGTCAATGGTCTTGCCTTCGTAAGTGACATAGATACCCTTGGTGATGATTTCATCCAAACGGTTGAAGAAGTCCATAACCTTGTAGTAGTAGTCGAATTTGCCGTAGCTTTCAACTTCGTAGTAGTTCTTGCGGTAAGAGTAACCAACACCATTGTAGTAAACCAATTGAGGGTTGTAACCGTATTCAATGGTGTTGAAGTAGGAGAATTCAGGAATTTCACCAAAACCATGAGACAAACGTTCCATGTAGTAACGAGACAAAATTTGGCGGACATTGTACAACCAGTATTCACCACGACGATCCTTGTTCAAACCGTAGGTCTTGCCATCCAAGAAGAAAGCATAGTCCATGTTAAGGTAGTACCAGTAAGCGTTGAAGCCAACATCTTCAGTAAAGTAGGACAAAGCAGATTCCTTGTTGTAGAATTCAACGTCACGGGTGTAATCAACAGGCATGAAGAACATTTTGGTGCTTTCAAAGATTTCCAAGTATTTAGAGTCCTTGTAGTATTCTTCGAAGTTTTCGCGCAACATGAAATGTTCCTCAGAGTACCAGTGTTCGCCCAAACCCATCATCTTGTACCATTGCCACATCTTGAAGTCCTTGGTGTAGTAATAGTAGTAGTGGTTGTCGTGGTTCTTGTAGAAGGTAGCGTAGTCCTTGTAGAGGATATCCTTGTATTCCTTTTCGTACATGATGTATTTGCTCCAGACATCGTAATCGAATTTCTCAGCTTCGTAAACGAATTTACTGTTGAAGAAGTATTGAGGGAAGATTTCATAGATGGAAGGCAAGATCAAGCCATGGAAATCATCACGGTGGATGACGGCCAAAGTCAAAGCATAGACGAACATGCCTTCGTTGCAGTGCATACGAGCCCAGGCAACGTTGCTTTGGAAGACTTCCCAGTTCTTGGCATAGTAGAAGAATTCGAACAAACCATAAGCTTGCTTAAGGTGGGTGTTAACCAAAGCACCGAAGAATTCACCCTTGGGTAAGAGAGCATCGTGCTTGTAGGCTTCGTAGAATTTCTCCATGTACATGTCAAAGTGCTGTAAATTAGAAGTGAATCTAATTAGTAAGAAATTATTTTCGGGAGTTTGTGATAACTTACAGTGTAGTGAGATTTGTCAAAAGTGAAAGATTTGCCCATCTTGATCCATTCCTCGAACATCAAGGGATCCTCAACACGGTAAACAATTTCGAAAAGGAACTTTTGTTTAGCCAAGAATTCCTTATCGGCAATTTTAACATCGTGCTTAGAGATGCTGCTGGCAGCAACCAAGCCAACAATGGCCAATAAAACAATGGCGATTTTCATTGTTTTGTCCTTCAACAGAGCGCGTAATATTCTAAACCAAACTGTCCACGGATTAGAGTTTGATGCAACGATCAGTTCCAATACCTAAAGACTGCTGATGTTTTGAGAATACTTTGGGGTTTTTATACAAATTGTTTGGCATATAATTAAGAATAATAGCCTTATCAATTGTATGACTGTTTTAATGTTTTATGTTTATGTTGGACCTATTAACCTTGCGGTAAACATAAAAGATGATAAGAACTCGATAGTTTTATAGCAATTTTCTGCTTGTGATTTTTATGGTTTGTTATTGTTGACTGTCTGTTCCGTGATTAATACATACATGCAGATGATTTGCCCCTAAAATTGTGTTTGCTGATTTGTGATTTCTATTGTGAGTATTTTTTGGATCTTTTCTTTAGTCCAAATGTTATCAGAAGTTTTCGTTTGCTATAGTTTAAACTTATTTTGTGTTTTCTTGTTTGTCTGTTTAAATCTTAATTTTTTAGTACAATATTCAACCAGAATTTAGTTAGGTGTGATTCAATATCTGATTCACTTTATATGTTCACTTTTTTTATTGAAAAAAAAAACATGTAATAGAGTATATGTTATCTGTATGTTGGCTAAATTTAACAAATAAGTATTTAGAGACGATTTCCTATTTTAATTTAATATTGAATTTGAACTGGAAAAGCTGATTTTTTCCAAATATTGCGAATTCTGTCCGATTTTCTGAAAGAGGCCTTATGTAAAATAGAAATGAAGATGACAGGTTATATCCATTATAATATCTCCCAATATATTTCGATCTAATTTCGGAGAAAGTCTGACAATAGTAAAAAAGGTGCTCCCGAGTTTCACTGTCCTCTACATGCCAGTAATCCTGTATGTCCACTCATAATACATACCATCATACTAAGCACAGACTTGCTCATTTTGAGGTGGCTTCTCGACGTACTCTCGTTTGGGTCACCCAATTTTTGTGGTTGTACCCAAAATTGGGTGACCTTCTACCTCGGGCTCCCTTTTCTTTAAAGCTATTACATTTCTTTGTCGAATACTCTCGAGTGGTCTAACACCCATATGATGTAAACTTTATCTCTGGGAGAGTATTCGATGAGAGCTTTTTTACAATGCAATATGGTCTTATTTATTCTGATCCAATTTTCGCATTTCGCTATTGCTAGGACTTCTGCCTGGAGGCTAGTCTTGTGATTAAACGAAGGTGTGTTTTCGTTACTGGGTTTTCAATATAGAACCATAGGACCACTTTGTCCCCCAATTTAGTCCCAATACCATGCCTATGTTTCCCTACATAGACCTCAGCACCGATATGCCTTGTTGATCATATCCTCTATGGTGGTGGTGCCTTAATTTTTCGGGTCAAGGATTATACTGGAAGCAGGGTCCAATATACATAGATATTATTTTATTCTTGTGAAATAACAGAATTCTCTTGATTGAGCCCAGGCCGTATTCAGAGTCTCTTCAGTACTTCTGCACAAATAATATTGATCCTTTCTCCTCAGAAGTATTATGACATTTTCTGCATAGCAGACATTGCTCGTTTGGAGTCCTTAGGAGGGTATTAATCGTGTTTGTACGGAAAAAAGCGGACAGAATGCCAACCTGTTTTGTATGGCGAAATATACTTTACCCGATAGTTATATCGTACATCTCGCAGCTTATCTATCTGTTTCTTAGCAAATAATCGATCCAGTTTCGGCGCACCCGGTCAACATAAAATTGGTCTAAGGATTGGATAAATGTATCATTGTGCATGTTACTGAAGTTGCCTTCGAAACGCGAAATTATCTCAATCAAATTATCGGAAGTCAGACGATTATCTTATTTTAGAAAAAAACAATATTTTTTTATTAAATTTTTTTTAGCTGAATGAAAAATTTTTTAAACAAATTGCAACATAACTGAACTTAGCAGAACCAAGTAACAAAACAGATCAAAATTTGTAGAGGAACTCAAGAACACACTAACTCCATAAATTTATACTCTATCATAATTAAGGATATACTTTCCTCCTGCTTGTTACAAATTTCGATCTACTAAAAGTTGCTGAAAATCAAAAATTTTAATAAAAAACAAAAAATTTGATGTAACAACTTTATTTTTTTTTTATTTTATTATTAATGTTAATTATCACATCTTGTATATTTACACATCTATCAATACCCTTTTACATTAGGAAATATCTAATGGTAGTATTCGTGATCGAAATGACCCAACTTTTCGTATTTGTGTTCAAAGTACTTGGCGAAGGTGTCCTTGTGGTAGATCTTAACA